TATGAAAATTGTTAATTTTCATGTTACAAAATGATAGGTCCACTAACATACAATCAAAGGCTTTATAAAATATAGCTTTTTAAGATTATTATGTTAAGAGTTCACCCGCAAGGGGATTATGGACCAATTATCGCACGTTAACAAATTTTTCCTTCATGATGGATTTATGATTCTTAAAAAGATGTCTATTTTTTGGTCACTCGTTAACACTGTAACTTGTTCTTTTTGGTGGCCTTTATTCAAAACTTCAAAAATTCAACATAAAACAACATTTTCTCTTGCGTATACTACCTAGATTAACCCTCTTAGGACTGGTAGAAGAAAAAAGAGCTTCCCCAGACCAGGCCAGACCCGCACGCTGAGTGTTAAAACGTACTGAAGAGTACTAAATACGAGAATACCGATTTCAGATCACGACAGTGTGATCTCGGCTGCTAAAGTCAAAAAGATTGGTTTCGTGTATGATACAATGGGCAGTGAAAAAGAGAAACGAGTGATCACGTATGTGTTCAAGGTTTAGCAGAGTTTTAATTAAATGATAGCGTAATTATTTAATTAAAAACTTTTAATCAAAAATTTTTTTATCAATATAACTGTGATTTTTTCCTCGCAAAAACTGTTGTATTATATATAAAAAATATTTTCTAAAATCATTCGGATCAAAATATTAAAAAAGGCTATCTTTAAATCAATCAAAAGTATTTGTGTATAATATTGAATGCGTATAAAATATAAAGCTTTCACATACATTCAATTTTTAGAAAATCTGCCATAAAAATGACGCATTTTATCATTTTAAAGATTTTAAAAAATATCTCATAAAAATTAATCCTAAGTAAATACTTACTGCTAGAGGAAAAAAAAAATCAAGCTTTTGTATTTTTTTTAGACGCTTTTAAATATTTCAAATTTAAAAAAGCTTTCCTTATATCAATTGAAAGTGTGTAATTATTGCTAGGGGGAAAAAATCAAGCCTTTGTGTTTATTTTTAGAAAAAATGCATCTTAAAAATGACGCTTTTTAAAATAGCTCTCACTAAATTAATCAGAAGTGTGTTACTAGTGTTACGAAAAAGTAAGAAAAAAAATCAAGCTTATGTATTATTTAATTAACAATAAAAAAAAATTAAGCAAATGTATTACCTTTCTTTCCTTTTTTTTTTTTTTTTTNTTTTTTTTTTTTTTTTTTTTTTTTTTTTTTTTTTTTTTTTTTTTTTTTTTTTTTAGAAAATGTACTTAAAAAATGACGTTTTTTAAAGTTCCGAGTTCAGGATATAGTTGCATTTTAATCATATTAGCGCTGATAATAATTAAATAAACGCCGGACGGAATAATAATTTGTTTGCTAGATCGTCTACGTATCATTAGTTTAAAAACTAATTATGGCTCTTTTTTCATGTCCGAATCATTTCGACTTATGACGTAAGGGAACACTAGAATCTCGGAAACTGTCTCGCGTGTTTGTTGCTGACGTTTATTCTACTAAGCTTTAAAAAATATAAATAAATAAACTGAATGAACTAGCACGAACAATAAAAAACTGGAACACAATACTGAGATGCAGCTCACGAGAATTATTTTTTTTTTTACCATTACTTTTGTTTTTATAACATTTTAATGGCTTTTACAATACACTGGAAATGGAAAGCTGTACTAAAAACTAACAACTAGATGGCTTATTCGGTCATTTCAGTTTTTGCATTCCTAATGTGATTTGTATAAAGCATTATATTCAATCATGAATTTTCATAGAGGAAAACTTTTTGTACGTGTTTCCCTTATTATATCTTAAAGCCGGTTCATATTTAGTGATACGACATTTATCAATGGTGATAATTTATAATAAAACATGAAATTACTAGTTTCAACTTCCTCTCTAATATGAAAAACAATCGCCATTGAATTTTTTTTCTACTTGCCTTATCGCCAAATTGCCAAGTGATTGCAACAGTTTCGTGCCCTATTTGAACCCAAGTGAACAACATTCTTATTAAAAATAAACAAACAAATAAATAAAAGATTTATGGGCGATTTCACATCGGATCAATCAGAAATTAAAATTTTTTTTCCCTCCCGGTTTTTTTCTCTTTTTTTTTATGAATATGATTGTATTTACAATTGGTACCAAGATATTTTAAGCGTAGATACAAATAATTCACAAAATACGTATTTTTTTTTTTGGACAAATATATTAAGTAATTTCATGCTTCATGAACGGGAGAAAAACGTGTAAAAGCCATTATTCACCAGTATTGCATTCTCATTCATTTTTTATAACTGTTTCTCAATGTATTCAGGGGTCTGTCCAGAAATTATGTGAAAGGTCCTTTTTTGTAAAATTGTGAAAAAATTACTCGTAATTTGTGAATATGAAATAAACGTTAAGTCACATTTTTTCAACCAGGGTTCGCTTTTGAGAATTTGTGCAAATAGGGTCCGTTATTGCAAAAAAACTTTTTCAAGGAGTTTTTAAATTGTGAAGACATACAAGATTATGCTCAACACTTTAAAATTATAATTAAAAAAATTAAATTTTAAAAAATAAACAGCAATTGTTTCTACTATTTTAGATATGCAACATACAAGTATTTGGTATTTAGCCTATACTGTTGAAAGCAGAATATTCATTTCGGACGAATAAAGGAAGGAGCGTCTGCCGAAGACAAAACTTAGTTCGTTTGCATTTGTCTTTCTCCCCCCCCCCCCNATGTCTACTAGTATAAACGAACTTTTATTTTTCTCAATCATCACTAGATACAGTGACTAATAGAAAATAAACTGTTGGATTATTTCAAAAATTGTTTTTTACTTCAAAACTAGAGTGGCACTTTTCTTTGTTTTAGGAAATGAAAATAAAATAAATAAATAAAAAAACTAAATATACCACATTTTAAAAAAATATTACGAAAAATACCATACCCCTTTTTTTGGTGAAAAAATACTACCGTAGTATTAAAAATACTACGTCTGGCAACCCTGTTACTATGAATTTCTTGTTTTTCAGTGTTACCAACAAATATCGAAAGAAGCAGAATAATTTAATTTTTATTTCAAAGTTTATGTAAAAAAATATTGATAAAAGGTGGACTTATTCACAATGGCTTCTGAAATTATTATAAAATATATTCAGAAGCTATTAAAAAAAGGGCTGTCTGACCTAAAAAAAAGTAACCAACGAGTAAATCCTTTAATAACTAAGAAGATTATTATTTATTTCATCAAAATTTCCAAAAATCAGAAAATATCAAAAAATGGACTTAACCGCATTGGCTTCTCTGAGCGGCTCATATGCAGGGAAAAAATTACGCTTTTTCCTTAGATACCATAGGTCGACGTTTTAAGTGCATTTTAACATTATGTTAAATTAATTGCTCACATTAATTCTTTACAATTATTTGTTGTTTATGTTCTTTTGTAATTTTCTCCAGAAAAATAATAAATAACGAATTAATTTTGACACGAACTTTTTCAAAAACCCAGTACTTCTTTCAAAAAAAAAAAAAATTAGGTATGAAATTTATTTTGTTTTCTGATTTTATTTGAAAATAAATTGAATTTTAAACTGTTTTCCTTTAAGATTTTTCATAACACCTCTTTTTTTTAAATTTACATAGCTGCAAATGATTGAAAGTATAATTCAAAATAATACAAAGCAATAAGATTGAAAAGAACGAATAACATTAAGTCTACTAAGCTCATGGTTATATACTCAATTAGTAAATTTTTAAGACTGAGAGTTATATGCATAAATTCAGATGAATAACTAAAGGAATTTATAAATTAATTTAGCATATATACGACAATTTTCGGAAAATTATAAATATTGCATCAAAAGTTTCTGAAACATTTTGTGGAATATTTGAAGGCACAATCTTTTTGGGAAGAGGGTCACCAAAATTAATTATAATAATCTGTCCACAATAAATGTAAATTTCATTCGAATTAATAATAATTTAATTATTCCTTAGACTGGTAAGAATGTCCAGTTTTAATTGCATTAGTTTTCTTCTTAGAAAATTCAAACGATAACATCATACTTTGTCTATTTTTAAATTTTTTCTTTATTATTCTTATTAAATAAGGCTATAATATTACTAACTATAATTATAAAATAATTTTATTAGTTTATTTTAACATATTTATTACTTTTATTGAATATAATACACGGATCATTCATTGAGAACAGGTTACGATCGGTAAATACAAAATAATTTACAAAATTTCTAACAATCTACATATATCTATAATTGCTTTACTAGCCAAATCGATTAACTCTGAATTTCTTAAAATCATAGTTCCTAAGCATTTGATTGCCGATTAACTGTATAAATTTAAAAAAAAAATAATTTTTCTTACAACACAAATTTATTTTTTTTATAGTTAATGAGCAATAAATGATTTATTTCAAAAATATTTACTTATTCATTCAGATCAGTATTTATAATTGTTTAATACAGTCCATCGATTAGGTATTCATTGTATCGGATAACGTTAAATATACATCCTGAAATATCGCAGTAATATAATTCATTGTAATTTTGCAATAAGATGAACTTAGCCAATATGAATCCTATCTAGTTGAATATTTTAGGAATAAAAATGTCATCACTCGCACAAATATTTGATATTGAGTAAAACTTTATGCGTGCCACACTTTGTCCGAGTAGTGATTGTGTCATACAACCTTGATAATTGAAGCAGGGCGTTTTATGGCTGATACAAAAAAAAAAAAAAAATCCCATGATGCAATTACCCAAAATGAAGTTTATGCTACTCTTGGGTAAGAATCATAGATAATGAGAAAATGTATTTGAAAAGATGAAAAAAATTCAAATTGTCAGATCTTTTGAAAAAGCCGCAAAAAAATTCTATTTCATCTCACACAAGTTTAGTTTATTCTCTAAAAAAGAAACGTAAAAACACTTTCACCCTTCTTATTCCTTAAATCTCTATCACTTCTTCTTATAATGTGGAAGATAAAATAAAATTTTAGGCACTTACCCTACTAGATATGGGAATGACCTCCCGACCCCGACGTAATGCAGGGGCTCGAAGAATCTTCCTGGGTCCCGAGGAAGATTTATCCATCTGGAAATACAAAAATAAAAAAGAACGTTACGAATATATATTTTTTTGATCCAGTTTATTATTACTATCTTAACACATTCAAAATAGAAATTATGGTAATCTTAAAAAAAGAAAGACTAGTTCTTTATTATCGAGTCTAAACTACTGAAGCAAGAAACATGAAATTTGGTTCCTTTCATGACGTAGGCAACCTACTAAAAGCAGAGTTTATTGATATTTCACCACTAAGGGAGTTAGTTGAAAGGGAAAATAGGGGTTGAAGATTGATTATAAAAAACCACCGATTTTGTAACAAGTGATAGTTAAGTAGCGTTAAATAATTAGTTAGAGATCCATTTTGTCAGACAATCTTAGTTAGGTAGTGATAGGTAAGGTATTTATTTAAAATAATTTAGGATTCCAGTGCGTCTACCACTACAAAAATACAATTCTAATTCACTAGCATATAAGACATTGTTAACTCGATTCTATGTTAGGGGTACGATGAAGGTTGACATCGTCGATAGCACCATCACCACATTGGTGACCTTCGAACGAGTTGTGAACTCGATGGATGGTCCACATCGAACAGTTGACTTGCTACTTGTGACTGCGACATTATCAGCCTCCTAGCACTGTTGCTACTCTGTCTCCCTCACACAAAACGTCGGTCTGTATACACTCGACTGTTAATGGCAACACATGAGCGACCAGGATTGTGAACTTAATGCAACTCTCACGATCAGCATTTAAAAGTACGGTGATCTTATTACAGCTCTCCTGGCTTCTCACAAAACAGCAATGAACCAACTAGTGATATCCGTTGATAGAATTCTATGACGGATATAATTCTGGTGGGGGAGTACTGTAGTGCGCCTACCACTACAAAAATACAAATCCAATTCAATAGAACATAAGACATGTTAACTCGATTCCATGTTTGGGTACCTTTTCATAAATGAAGGTTGACATTGTAGATAACTCTTATCCATACAAGGATTTTTATAGAAATAAAAACTTAGTTGAAGTAAATGCTTGGATTTATATTCGATCTTTTCAAAAATGGCCGTAGAAATTCTAAACATAAACGGTGTCACATACTCTCAGACAGATCATTGGTGAAGGAGCTTGCCTTTTTCGAGCAACAGCATACGCAATACTCAAGTTACGGTTCGAGGTAGCATTGAGACGAATTTTCTATCTCATTTCAAGACAGAGATGGAAATAATTTAAATAATTCTGCAGCCTACTATACTGATATGTCCTGAACTATTTATGGTGGTTAGTGTCATTTAAGAGTTGCTGGACAGATTTGAAATTACTATTAAAACTATATCAGCGGTCTGTTTAGAAGAAATTTGGGTCCGTTAACGGATCCTTTACAAAATATCTTTTCATGAAAACGGACCCTTCACAAAATATTTTAACTTAAAAACGGACCCTTCACAAAATAATTTTTCTTTAAATCGGTACTTTCACAAATTTGTTTATCTTCATTATTGTTTTGTTAATCGAATAAACCCTTCCCAGGAAGGGGAGGGAGGGAGAAAGACAGACGTAAACGAACTAAATTTTGTCTTTCGCAGACGCTTCTTCCTTTATTCGTCCGATATTAATATTCTGCGTTCAGCAGTATAGGCTAAATGCCAAATATTTGTATGTTGCATCNTTTACGTTTATTTTATATTCACAAATTGCGAGTAATTTTTTCACAATTTTACAAAAAACGGACCTTTCACAAAATGTCTGGACAGACCCCTGTTAGTTTTAACAACAGGGTTAAAATAAAATACTTGCTCATTATCATTTTTGTTATTTACAGCCATATTCATTGCATTATATTACTATCTTGCAGGGCACAAAGGATTATGGAATATTTCTAAAGATAATCACAGATATATTTATATTCATTTAAATTTTATCATACTTTTTATCTTTTTTTAAATTTACTATTGATGTGAATTTTTTTCAAAGCATAAAAAATTATAACACTTATATTAATTTTAGTTAATTTACTAATTTATGATTAAAGTTTTTCAGTACATTTAAGATATTTTCAGCGATGTTTAGTTTTAAAAAAATTTTGACAATATCGGGAACATGAAAACAGTTAAAAATGTACCTCTACGCGGGCAAAGCCGTAGTCATTGGGTAGCAGTTGGTAAAATAGTATAATGTGGTTTCTCAGTGGATAGAGTGCTCGTCTCCCAATGAGGTGGACCGGGTTCAAATCCCGGCGATAGCTGGTTGATTCGAATTCCGCCCCCGGTTCGCACAGTGGCAGACGAATTATGGGTTTGAGTCCTATTACTATCAGGCAAGGTTTCCGCGGTTTTCCTCTCCATGTAACGCAAAAGCGGGTTAGTTCCATCAAAAAGTCCTTCACGAAGGCAAATTTCTCTCAATACTTTATCCAGGAGTTCCCTTGTTTTCTGGATTTGGTTCAAAATTACAAGGCTACGGAATTGAACATAAGTAGTCGTAAACTGAAAATTTATTACTCTTATAAAAAATTTATCAAAATGCTTTTTAATGGCAATGTTGTACGCCATTTATTTTTGAATAATAATAATTTATAAGCATAAAAAAGGGCAATACACCGACACAATCGCTGCATTGAGCCATCCAATACGCCAGTGTTTCCCAAACTTATGACTTCTGTGTACCCTTTCTAAATTTTTCGTAATGCTGTGTACCACTAATAAAAAAATTAATATATTTTTTACACAAAAGTTAAAAATCACAACTGGTTGTTGACCCCACTAATTGTTAAATNAAAAAAAAAAAAAAAAAAAAAAAAAAAAAAAAAAAAAAAAAAAAAAGCCAATAGAAAAATACGTAATCGTAAATTTCCAGGCTAGCTTTGTTTTTAAATAAAAATTTTTTAAATTTTCGCTTGTTGCAAGATATTTCGTACAAGAGCGCGTACCCGCGCTAAACTGATCCCGTACCCCTGGGGGTACGCGTACCACACTTTGGGAAACACTGCAATACGCTGTATTGGATGACTGCTTACCATGTTCATCTTGTTTGCGTACAGTGTTCTTTTTTCTTACCTCTTCCTTTTTTCGAATACGATTATTACCACAAAGAGTGTGTAGCGAAGTTCTGGATGAAATTTTTTTTTTTACGTTTCTAGAATTTTTAAGCTTTTTATGCTATAATTTTCAAAATTACTTTTTTTACAATTTTCTAAAATTTACAAGTTAGCGAAATATTAAACGGTATAAAATCATTTCCTTAAATCTTAACTTTTTCAGCACAAACTTAAGCAGCATTAAACTTTCTTACATTTCAGTAAAAAAGAAAATTTAAATGAAAGATTTCGATTTAAAAAGTGCAAAATACGTTATAAACATATCAGTCCTAAAGTGAAATAAGAAATTATAAGAATGTATAGTGCGCAAAAATAAAATAAAAATCTTAATGGTTTATTTCAACTTATTCTTAATAGTTCGAAGGGGGGGGGGGCATGACCTCAAATATGCTAATTAATTAGTGCAAACCCCTGTGGCAGAATCGCAGCGACCCGGCGACATTGTCGCAGAACGTCAGAGTTCTAGCAGAACGATTTTTCTTTTGAATAGGAGAAAAATTTAGTTTTCTTTTCCACAGAAATTTACACCTATTAGTTGACTCATGCATTTAGATAATCACTTTTTGACGCGCTCAATAAGATTTAAAAATGAGTTATACAAAAGAAGAAAAAAAGTATTTCTGCCTCAAGAATACAAAATTTGATAGACTTAGAAGTTAAACATTTCCTTTACTTTTTTTTTCTTCAAAAATTCAAATTTTCACGGGTTATGTCAGGTTTTGAAAATACTCAGGCTTTTCCGTGTCCGTTTGACACCTTTGCTATATCAAAAATACAATTATTATCATTCAATTTAGTTAGCTAACACAATTTAACAGCATCAGCTTTTATAAAGTTGTCAAATACAAAATAAAAAAATAATTATCTACAATCTAGCTACCAAATATTATTAGTCATATCAAATTGTATTTAGTTGTATAGTACAATTAGCTAAATCAAATACAAAACTAAATAAAATTGATGCACAACTTTCTGGTTGTTATATCTGTGCTAAAAAATATCATTTTACAGCTTGTATTCAGCTATATCAGTTTGCATTTAGCCAGGGTTGGCAAGGTTTAGGACAGAATGGATTAATCCACGGTTTAAACCGTCCTGTCCAAAGCCCCTTTGTCTAAAACCCCTTTACTCAAATTATGTCACAATTTTATCTGAACAATATTTAAGAGGTAAAATAAACATAGAACTAATAACACTTTGATAATTAAATTTACTACAGAATATTTGTTTTTAAAAGTATAATGTTTTGTAATATTCTTTGACTTTTCAATTTAAACATTAAACAAAGGAAGATTAATCAGTAATCAAGTTCAATTGGTCCTCTCATTCAATAATACATAACTGGAGTTGTACCTTGCCATACAGATTAAGCTATTAGGGACTAAGTGTTTGGTTAGTCATAAACAGGTTTATTTATCTATAGTATTATTCAAGAATACTGTTATTTCATTCATGTTCAATTCCTTTAGCATAGTGGTGATACATCACCAGTGTCAGTAACTGAAACTTATATTATGCCCTTCAAAACTGCTAATACATTTTTCAGTTATTTTGTATTTTTAATTTAAACTGATATATTTATATTTAAAAACAATTTTTTTAAAAAATAGATGTCTTTTTTATCATTCTGTGATGCAAAAATTATAACATTTTTTTATAAAAATATTGTGAAAAATAAAAGGTTAATTTTTAAACAAATTTAGTATTTTTTTTTAAAAAACCATTATTTTTTAAAATTGCATTATTGGAATATTAAAAATGCAAAAACATTATTTATCCTAACATTATTTATCAGTATTAAAAGCATATTTATATTTAAAGGATTAGGTATTTACTTTTGTTGTTCAATGGATTATGGAGCTTCAAAAATTACAAACCTTTTCCTATTATATTATATTATTTTCTTTTGATAAGTTAAAGTAAA